ACAGAAGTGTCACATGATCCTGTGCGACAATTAAGGATCGTCTTAATATAGAGGTTGAGACCATTGTTTATAGAGGAAGAGTTGGAGACGCTGAAGTGAATGTCATATTGCCTCACTTTGATATCCATAAACTCGTGGAAATTGCATATCATGGTAAGCTTGTTGTGACTCCTCTTGTCATATGTTTACCTGGACCCATTCCTTCCAAGTCAGATAAAGTTGTGCCTTATAAGTATAATGCTACCATATTAGAGGATGGTAAGGAAGTTCTAATCAAGCCTTTGTCGACTGTTGAGAATATTGTTGAAGCTAGTCGGATGATCCATAATGGTCGAGTGTTTGCTCCGGCACCTCAGAAGGTTATTGATCTCGGTAAGTAATCTATTGAAATTAATGCTGAGCCTAAGAAGGCGGAAGGTCAAACTAGTGGTGCTACTTTAGAGAAAGATTATGATGATCTGTTGAAGATTATAAAGATGAATGGTTACAAGATTATTAATCAGTTATTGCAAACTCCATTAAAGATTTCTATCTTGGCTTTGCTAATGAACTTTGTTGCCCACATAGATTCTCTTATAAGAGTTTTGGACCAGGCTTTTGTTGACCATGATGTGACTACTAACAATTCACCGGTGTTATGGGTAACATTATAGCTTGTAATAACCTCAACTTTTGGGATGATGAACTACCAGATGAAGGAAGGAACCATAATTTTGCGTTGCATATTTCTTTGAACTGTAAAGAGGATGTTTTATCCAATGCGGTGATTATTAATGGCTCCACTTTGAATGTTATGCCAAAACGTATTTTGTTAAAGATTTCCTATTGTGGAACTCTCGTACGCTATAGTGGTATTATAGTGAAATCTTTTGACAGTTCCAAGAAATTTGTTATCGGAGAAGTGGATTTACTTGTATGGGTGGGACCATATATGTTCCAGATTACATTCCAAATTATAGATATCTTTCCCGCTTATAGTTATTTGTTGGGTCATCCTTGGATCCACGAGGCAGAAGTTGTTACCTCTACCTTGCACCAAAAAGTTGAAGTTTGTCAGAGAAAGCAAGGTAGTGATTGTTAACGGTGAGCAGATTATGTTGGTGTCACATTTATCTTTTTTAGTTATGTTGAAGCAGATAAAGATGATGTTGGCACTCTGTTCTAAGCTTTATCAATTGATGGTGTGAAGAAGAATGTGGATTCTATCTCTTCGTTCAAAGATGTGCAGCGAGTTGTCCTGAAAGGTCCTTGTAGTGTTTGGGGCCAAGTCATTGATCTACCTGAGAACAAGAACATAATTGGTTTGGATTTCTCCCCTCAGAAAGATGAGAATGAAGTTGTAAAGCCGAAGTATGCCTTCCGTCCTTACCAAGACATGTTCCACAATGGAGGCTTCATCTGTCTGACTTCTCTAGTGGTCGATGCTGTTCTTGAAGGTTAGCCAGAGCTGAAGATGCCAAATTTTATGACACGTGGAGGAAGAGTTCAGAATTGGATCTCTGTTGATATTCCTAATTGTGTTCATATTTCAAAGTAATTTGTTTTGCTTTTTTTTTCTTCGAAAAAATCCTTTCACTCTGCCCAAGGTGAAAGTGATGTTGTTTGGGTTTGTCTTTGCTTCAAATTTTAAAATCATTAATAAAAGTCATTTATGTTATCCAATTGTGTTTATTTTTCTGCTTTTTTGGAAAATGATAATAAAATAAATCTTTCAAAAATATAATAAATGTCAATAAAACTGCATAATCACTTGTTGCATTTGTCGGTTTCTAAAATCAAGCATTATCACATTTGCAGATTAATTAATTAAACCATTGAAAACAATGACCCTACACCCTCTCCTAACTTTGAATATCCTGTGTTTGAGCTAAAGAAGAGGAGTTGATTAAAATCCTGGAAGAGGTTTCTCGGTTGCTTGAGTACGAGGAGAAGACCATTCACCGTACAAAGAACCGTTGAAGACAATTAATTTGGGTTCCGAAGAAGACCAACAATAAGTTAAGATTGGGGCACTGCTTTATCCAGAAGTGAAGAACAGGCTGACTGATTTGTTGAAAGAGTGTGTTAATATCTTCACGTGGTCCTATCAAGACATACCTGGTTTGGATACTGATATTGTGGAGTATCATTTACCGTTAAGGCCATAATGCCCACATATTAAGCAGAAGTTAAGGAGGACTCACCCTGATATGAAAGTTAAAATAAAAGAAGAAGTTTTGAAGCATATTAATGTCAGTTTCCTTGTGACATCAGTTTATCCTTAATGGGTTACCAATATTGTTCCTGTTTCAAAGAAAGACGGAAAAGTCCGCATGTGCGTTGATTACAGAAACCTAAACAAGGCTAGTCCAAAAGATGATTTCCTTATACCACATATTGATATGTTGGTAGATAATACAACAAAATTAAATGTTTTCTCCTTCATGGATGGATTTTCCGGATATAATCAAATTAAAGTGGCCCTCGAAGACATGGAAAAACAACGTTTATCACACCCTGGGGAACATTCTGTTACAGAGTGACGCCCTTCGGGTTGAAGGACGCTGATGCAACATACCTGAGGGCTATGACAACCCTATTCCATGATCTGATGTATAAAGACATTAAGGTATATGTGGATGATATGATTTCCAAGTCCCAGACTGAATAAGGTTATATAGAAGACTTGTTGAAGTTGTTTCAGCATTTGAGAAAGTATTGTCTTCGCTTAAATCCAAATAAGTGCATCTTTGGTGTCCGTTATGGGAAACTATTGAGCTTTATTGTGAGCCAGAGATGTATTGAAGTTGATCTTGATAAAGTTAGGGAAATTTAAAAGATGCTTGCACCAAGAACTGAAAATCAAGTAAGGGGTTTCCTCGGGCGTCCAAATTATATCTCCAGATTTATTTCTCACATGACTGTCACTTGTGAGCCGATCTTCAAACTTCTGAAGAAAGAGCAGGGTTGTGTATGGACAAATGATTTCCAAAAGGCTTTTGATAGTATCAAAGAGTATCCTCTCGAGCATCTTATCTTGCTCCCTTCTTTTGAAGGAAGACCGTTACTTATGTATTTGATTGTGTTGGATAGTTCCATGGATTGTATCTTGGGACAACAAGATGAAACAAGTAGAAAATAATATGTCATTTATTACCTCAGCAAGAAGTTCACCGATTGCGAGTCATAATATTCATTGCTTGAGAATATATGTTGTACTTTGGCCTGGGCTGCTAAGCGTCGCGACAATATGTTGAATCTTATTACTTGGTGATATCCAAAATAGATCCAATTAAGTATACTTTTAAAAAGCCCACTCTTACCAGAAAAATTTCCCGTTGGCAGATACTACTGTCTGAATATGATATTGAATACTGTATTCAGAAGGTTGTTAAAGGTAGTGAGTTGGCAGAGTATCTTGATCACCAACTAGTTGATGATTATCAGTTCGTCAAGTTTGATTTCCCCGATGAAGATGTGATGTGCTTGAAAGCAGTATTTTAAAAATCAGACTAGGCATCAAACCGATGAGGGTATTGGTTCACTGGTTTATTGGTTGAACCATTGGATCATTGGTCGAACCGCATGACTAAATCAGATTAAATCAGATAACTCGGTTGAATAGATCGGTCATTATAACAAAATAATATAGGTATAAAACCTGTCGAATCAAATGTTCAGTTTCTACAAAATAACACTTAAATTTTTTGAACATAATACAACTGTATAGTTTATAACAAAATAACTCCATTGTCTACTAAATTTAGTTTCAAGGAGGAAAAATTATTTCAATATTGAGATCTCTCTCTTCAATATCAAAACCATCTGCAACAAAATCAACCACATCTGCAACATCTTCTCTCTCAATAATATCATCACTTTATATTTTATTTTTATTTAAATTTTTTAATAAATTAATCAAAACGTCGTCGTCTTGTTTTTTTTTTAAATGAAAAAAACAATTAAATCACCGGTTTTTCCCCCCGTTTTTAGCAGTTTACACCGGTTTTTACCAGTTTGCGCCGGTTCAATGACATATTCAATCCAACAATTAAACCAGACCGACTCTCGATTCAACCGGATGGTCCGATTTTTAAAACACTGCTTGAAAGTTAAAGATTATGATGAACCTTTGCCTGAGGAAGATCCAGATCCTGAGTCCCGTTGGAGTTTGGTGTTTGATGGAGCTATGCATGCTTATGGAAAAAGAATTGGTGTTGTGATTATTATTCACCATGGTTCTCACATCCCTTTCACTGCAAGGCTAATGTTTGATTGTAGCAATAACATGGCGGAGTATGAAGCATGTATTATGGGTCTCGAAGAAGTCATAGATTTAAGAATTAAGATTCTTGATGTGTATGGAGATTCAACTTTAGTGATTAATCAGATTAAAGGTGAATGAGAGACTCGTCACCTTGGCTTGATTTCCTATAAAGATTATGCCAGAATGTTGTTACCTTTCTTCAACAAGATTGAATTCCATCACATTCTCCGAGATGAAAATCAGATGACAGATGCTTTAGCCACTTTGTCCTATATGTACAAGGTGAATTTCCCAAATGAAGCGCCTCAAATTATAATCAAATGTCTTGATTGATACATCATCAATCTTTAGTGTAAAATGTGAAAAGAAAGAAAACTATTTGAATTTAAAATATAAAAATAATTCTATAAATGAGATAAAATAGAAAAATAAAATTATTAAACAATATTACAAAATAACACACATAACATAACAAAGAGAGAGAATATTACTACTTATTGGGGTGTATGAGTAAAAACAGTAGTGTAAATAGTGATTCCCTTTCAGTTGAGGTAAAGTCCGAGCCCAAAGTTTCAAATTTGGATTAGATGAGCCCACGAACTCTGAAACCGCGATCGTAACCGTGCAAGTGTGGCCACTGACACCGTGATCACCACCACTGTTGCCAAGTTGCACTTCATCTCCTCTTCCTGAAATCAGAAACTGAAAATTCCTCCAAATTTGAATCAACCAAACCAGAAAGTTCTTGGAACACATGGAAGAACGCATTGAAGTCAAAAGATACGAAGAACTTCACACCGCCAAGGAATTCGAGTCTCTTATCGAAGCTCAAAACGTTCCCGCTGTAAACAAAAACAGCACTCTCCGATTCTTCTCTTATCTTTCATCATCATTATTTGCAATACTGATTACTAATATTTGGCTTTCTTAACCTAAAAAGGTTTTGTGTGGTTGCATCAAGAATTGGAGAGCGTTCTCTCTTTGGAACCCTCGGAACGGTGGTCTCGATTACTTGCAAGAACGGGTAGGATCTTCTGTGGTGGAGGCTATGGTATCTTCTTCTGCACCTGTCTTTTATGGTGATCTTGGAAGTCACCAGAGGGTAATTACAGTACTCTGTTTGTTTTTTCTCATGTGGATTATGGACATTTTCGATTAATAGCTTAATTCACTAGTGCATTAGTTATCAAGGATTACAACACTCTTTAGTATGAGTGTCATATACTGATGCGTATCAGACACTGCGACACACCTACTACTAGAGGTGTCTGTGCTTCATACACGAGATATGAGATTATTTGGTGAAATTAAGTTAATCTTTTTTTATTTCCTTTCCTTGTAGGTTCCTCTACCATTTTCTACGTTCCTTGATTTGTGTAAGAAACGGATACATATGCAAACTGAGCAACGGCATCAACATTTAGATGTTGATCATTCTGTTGCCTCGCAAACGGATAACACACAAAATGATTATTTGTCCTTGGAAGATGTTCCTGAACAAATTTATTTAGCGCAGGTTCGAACTCCAATGTGAAATAACCTATGCCAATTGGTTCATAAAAATTGACTTATTGTTTTTGACAATATTACCAAGTTTGTTTTTCTTTAATAATTGCTTTTAATGTTGAAACCATCTCTATAATTGTGTTGCTCCAGCTGCGGTATTTTGATAGTTTGATGTCACTATAATTTTGGAATGATAAATTTTTTCGGGTTCCTCTACAATTTCATTGCATTGAATATGCAATATTACTTTTTTTTTTACATCAAATATTATTAGTTACCGTGTTGTGAAAAGGGTTTTGTTGATTGTACTGTAGGTTCCGATCATGAACCGTGATCGTCAGGATAAGGCTCAATTGGGAATCCTAAGGGAAGATATTCAGTTGGTTAGTCTATATCTGCCTGCCATTTTATTTTGTAGTCTATAGTTCTTCATGGTAGAGACTTTTATTTATGAAAATTTTAATTTAATCATATTGTTTTCCGCAGCCTCCAATATTGGGAGCAAAAGAACTGTCTTCTATAAATTTGTGGATGAACAATGCACAATCTAGATCAAGTACTCACTATGATCCACTCCACAACCTTTTGTGCATAGTTTCTGGCCGCAAACAAGGTAAGGTATATGTCTTCCTCTTCTTGTTATGACCTATTATGCTATCCTATTATCTTCTTGTCAGCAATATGCTATCAGTTATGTAGGATTTTTCAGCACTTGCATTGGCTTACTGATGCTTTAATTTATTTAATGTCTAAAGCTATGTGATAGTAAATTAAAAAAATATATAGTGGAGTTTTGGAACTTTATTGGCCTCACCCTGTCCATTTTCTGTTAATGATTCTGCAAAAACCCTTTCCAGGGTTTTCAGTTATTTATTCGAAATATTTCGCCTCACCTTCTTTTCTTCCTCAAGCCTTGATCCCTTTATGTCTTTTAACGTAATTAAATTATGTGCAGTTGTTTTGTGGCCTCCTTCTGCTAGTCCCTCACTCTACCCAATGCCTATTTACGGAGAAGCTTCCAATCACAGGTACACTCATGATTGTTAAGAGACCTCTATATGTATTGATGTAGTAAACACAGTGTATTACTATTTGATAGCGTGAGAACAATATAGCTCCTGCATGTCCAGTCCTCAAAACACGGCTCACCAACATATCTTTTATATTCTAATAATGCCTCATTTTGTCTTTTTTTTTTCCCAATAAAATTCATGTGGCAGTTTGGTTGCTTTGGAAAACCCCGATTACTCAATTTATCCAAGGGCAGAGTGCTCAATGGAGTTTGCACAAAAGGTTGTTCTGGAGGCCGGTGATGCACTTTTCATTCCTGAAGGCTGGTAAGGTCTAAAATTCATCAAAGTAATTTCAGTTTCTAAGTAGATTATTTCCCTTCCGTATATAGCAGACGTGGTTCTGGCTGGTAGACTTGAACTGAGAAACCTCTGTGTCATATGAGAATAGCTTAACTTGTCTGATTGTTTTCTGGGAATTGTGTATGGATATTTGTTTGATACTTTTGATGAAGATGATTAATATGTAAAGTGCATTTGGTTCATGCTTGTCAAATTTGGAAATATTGGTGTGTTTTGATTTTCTAATTTGAGCTTTGTGCATTTGTCACCTTTAGGCATTTTCTCAAAAATACAAGTTTACAAGTCTAAGGGTCTGTTTGGGAGTTTGGAGAGGAAGGGAGAGGAGGAATTTGAAAAATAGGAAGGATTGGGTGGAAAAAATTGAAGGATTTTTGTTGAGAGGGTTTTTCCCAATTTGTATTGAAGAAGGATTTTTGTTAGGAACTCATAGTACTTAATAACATAGTAACATAGAATAATGAGATGGACAGCAAAATGATTGTTTATTGATGATAAAATTGGAAAATACAGAGAGGGAAATGACCCTTAAATCTGACACAGAGCAAAAGCTCCTATAGGTGGCTAAAGCCTCCTCTTGATATTTGTAAATATATAGTGTTAAGAATATTTGTATGTAGAACAGTCTCACATCGATTATATCATGTAATTAGTTGTAATCTCTCTATATATAATAAAGTCTCCGTAGTGCTTTCAAAACATACAGTTTAACCTAAATGTCTCTTAGTCTCTCCTAATTCAATATGGTATCTAGAGCCTACTAAGAGACAATTCTTCGCCGTGTTTTACCTGGTTGACCCACTGTCTTCCAGTAACAATTTTTTTTTTTTTACAAACCGTGTCATCACTCCCGTTCGCCTCTCACTTTCCAAAATTCTCCGGTAACCACCGGACTGCTGCCACCATCCGTCGCTACTGATTCCGGCGACCTTCCGACAAATTAACCCTACCGACAAAAGCGCCTCCTTCGATCCGGCCGATCTCGACGATTTTTCCACCGCCGCACTCGCCACCTTGCAACTTTTCCAAATTCAATACTCATGGCTACTCCTCAGAACTTTACGCCAAACTACGATGATTTCCTCAAGTGGTATCAGAATTATCAGAACTCAGATTCTACTGCTTCGGTTGCACACACTGGTAATTCATCTGTTTGCTTCTCTACCTCTGGTTTATTACCTACTATAACTTCTGCCAATGGTTCTCAAACCCGATCCGAAGGAATTGTACTGTTCAAATTCTACCTTCTCTCTCTGTTACTTCTGTTCTCTATGTATCTAATTGTCCATTTAATTTACTTTCAGTCAGTCGTTTAACTCGTTCTCTTGATTGTATTGTCACCTTCACTAATAGTAATGTCATCCTGCAGGATCGGAGTTCGGGACGGACAATTGTTGTTAGATATGAGTCTCAAGGCCTTTATTACCTCTCAGTGTCATCTCAGACATGCTCAGTCAAAGATTCTCCACTCACAATCCATGCTTAGTTAGGTCATCCTAGTCTTCCCAAATTACAGAAGTTGGTGTCAAGTGTATCGAAAATACTAATTTATATTGTGAGTCGTGTCAGTTAGGGAAACACACTCGTAGTCAATTTTCCAATCGAGTAAATAAACGAGCTTCGTCCCCTTTTGCTTTAGTTCACTCCGATGTTTGGGGTCCCTCACGTACAATCTCTACTCTTGAGTCTAGGTATTTTGTCACCTTTATTGATGATTTTTTCGCGATTCACGTGGTTATTTTAAATGAAAAATAGATCAGAATTATTTTCTATTTTTGAAAAACTTTATAAAGAAATAAAAACTCAGTTTGGTGTGTCTATTCGTACCTTAAGAAGTGATAATGCTCGTGAATATTTATCCCAACAATTTCAAACTTTTATGTCCAATAATAGTATTCTCCACCAAACATTTTGCCATCATACACCTCAACAAAACGGAGTAGCCGAACGCAAAAATCGGCATCTGTTTGTGTATCCATTGGAAAATCTATGTTTCTGTTACACAAGAGTCATGTTCTCTACTTCATTACCGTTTTATGCTGTAGGTTTCACCAGGTAGACAGTGATGATTTGACTATTGCTATTAACTTGTGGTGGATATCCAAGACTATTTCTTGCATGGTGGAACATATGGATGCTTATTATTTACGCAGAATATTGAGAAGGTATTGGTGATGTTGTAGTTCTCAGTTTAAATTTCTCACCGAGTATTATGTGATCAACTGACTTTTGAATGTTATTGTTTTTCTTTTCAAATACCATTTACCTGCTGATTTAATGGATGCATTCAAAGATTGATTGACAAAGAGATGGTATGTGCTTATTTTGTACTCGTCCTTTACTGCAAAAAACATCAACGGGGAGCCTACACTATTACTATTTCATTTATTTTTTGGTGGGGTTAAAGAATGGATGAAATGAATATCTCAGTCTAGCTCTTGTATCAGCTTACTTGTGAATGCTTCTACACATGTACATGTGTTATGTGCACGCGTGTTTATATAAATAATTTCCTTTTTCAAATTTCTTCAGATGTGCAGCTTTTTTTAAGTGCTATTCTTTTCCTTCCTTTTTGTGCAGATTGTCACTTGGCAGCTTAAAACTTACCGATTATTTGTTATTGAACTTCAATTTTCAGAAAATTTTCATAGCTAATGGTTGATGAAGTACAAAGGGTAGAATTTATTCTTCCGTGTATCTCAATCATATCAGCCACCTTGTATTTATAATAATAGTGTTACAATAAATACTTTTGAGTGTTTTTAATTAATTATTACTATTATAAGAAGCTGTACATTCTAAGAATGTTGACAGTAACTAATAATAGTCATTAACTACAGGGAGCATAAGTCTTTTGAGCATCTGTCTATTTATCTCTTGAATTTTGTTCCCGAGTGTAGAGAATGAAGGGGTGTTATCTATATTCTTCTAGCTTATCAAAGTTCATTGAGCTAAATTGATTTTTTCCTTTCTCCACGAATTAGTAGTTTTTATAATGAGCTTATTACATGTTTTTTCAATATAGGACAGGATCAACAACTGCTTAAGTTGGGGATGGGAGATACTGGGATGTGTGCGTACAAGCTCCTGAATAATGGACAAGCAAGTAAGTTAGTTAGAAGATGAATTTAATATAGTTATTCTCTATGATTTTCTCCTTACAAGAAAACTAAAATTCAAGCTTATCGTTTTTTGAGGTCTAACTGATTTTGATTATCTGATTACCAGGTCATGCTGATGAAAATTGCAGTCAGATGCCAAAAGGAATGGATTTAAAGGAGAAAAGACTTAAAGAGGGCAACACATTGCTTGAATTAAAACCTGCTGCAGTCCAGGTGCTTCATGAACTTGTGTCTTTAGTTCACAGCAGTGTTAGCGCCAGCCCGGGTCAGCAAACACTGTCAACTTTTATAAATGATAATGAGAATATAGGAGATGAGAAATGTGACAAGATAGTGTCTGCTGACTTGAAAGATGATCCAGCGGCTAAAGTTCTTTGGGACGTTGAACCACAAATTCTCCAAAATGTCTTTCTTGCTATGGCAGTGAGTTTTCATTACCTACACAACTTACAAATGCATGAAAAGTTGTCTTCTCTATGCACGTTCGTACTGCGAACCTTGGCGTGGGTGTTTTAGTTATCAATTATGATTAGACATAGTTATTATTGGTACAAAGCATTTCTGGTTGATCATTTCAATCAGGTTTTTCCTTGCAAGTTGACAAATACATTGATTTTATTTTTCTCATTCTCTCAGGAATGATGTTATTCTTCCAATGGTAATATCTTTCCTACTTGAAAGAGAACTATTTGTAAAAAGACTATGTAAAGTGAGTAGTTCATATGGAGGATACTCTAATTATTAGAGGTAGAAGGAGATTAATGAAAGTTATTGGCTCAACCATTAAAAAGATTTGGATTTAATTGGCCTGGTCATTAGACATGATTTATCGTATATATCAATCTACGCTTTCAGTAGTTTTTCTAATTATCAATAACATTGGGGCTACTGCTACTTATTTAACTCAAATTACATACTGATTATTTCCTTGTATGTAACCATAAATTGTATCTATCTGTTAAATATTTTAAAGTTATGTTTTAGATTTCAAACCTGTTGGACTATTTTCTGTTTTCAGAGCAGCTTCCCAAGAACTTTAGAGGCTCTTGTTCTGCATGTACTTTCACCAGTTGGGATAGAGGTTCTTACTCGGAAATTTGATGAGATGGACGAACAAGTTCTTGAGAAAGATCGGTACTTTCTATTATGTACTATCTTCGTAAGTGTTTCATGTTCTTGGTTGTCAAGAAGATAACATCCTATTATTTTGGCCCCCACAGGAGTAAATTCTATGAGGCTTTCTACGGTGCATTTGATGATCAAACTGCAGCAATGAATTCTATTTTAAAGGGGAAGGAGCTATTTACTCAACAGGTAATTGAGGAGCTATGCTCTAGCTTTATCTTTTGGAAATTGTTCTTCCAAATTTTCTCTGGTGCGTGTAATTAGAGTCATACAAAAACCTGTTAATCCAAAATTTCGGCTTTCACTCAAGCAGTACAAGTACTTAAGAAAACTTGAAGCTAGTTCAAAAGACTAAGTCCTCTAATGATGCAACAAACTAAAGCAACACGGGTTTCTGTTGGAATGACAGATTACAGAAACCGAGTTTTCTAATATACACTGAAAACTGTTTTCTGATGTTTTTTAAGATGGTAAAAATCAATTCAGTATTTATTATTTTTATTTAAAAACTAGCTCACAGTAATTAATACCTTGTCAAAATGTGTTTGCTTCAGTTCTAAAACAAGGTTTTAGCTAAACTGAGATTTCTGAACTAGTAGTAATAAATGTTCTTGAGAAAACCAGTCTCCAATTTCTGATGAAATGATAATGTGTTAACAACAGTGCGAATTTACTAAACTTAAAATAGAGTAAGGAATAGAGAAATGCACATGGTATTTATATTGGTATCATTCACAAAAGTTTTGGACTACATTGAATGCCCGCACACGATTGGATATTTCACTATGTAACAAACAAGCTTACTTACACGCATTCTTTTCCCCCAGCTTTATCATGCTTCACCTTGAAGTATTGTTTGTCCTGGACAGATTCTTCCTGCAATATCTTACAATATTACTTATCCTAGATAGTAGTAGCCTTTCTAGGCTACCCGGCAAAACCTCTTAGCCAACAGTAACCGACATAATAGCTTGGGATAAAACAAAATACTGTTCAAAAATGGGCTTTGGTGTTTACAGCTCACACACAATACTTGGAGTAGATACAAACTTACAGAACTAAGAGACAACTCCTATTTTTAACCAACATCTAATGAGCTAGTGAAGAGATGAAAATAAGATCGAACTAATATGATAGCATTTGGCCAGTAGTTGGGCAAGGTCTTTTCTTCAGAGTAGTGTGCAAGACCCGTTTTTATACTGCCAGACAACTCCAAACAGATCCTCCTAGTTTTTAAAGACACCCGGGTATAGTGCTACTCCTTTGTTCTTTTTTGCAAGTCAAACTTGGTTTCAACATTCTGATATTATTTTCTGATTTGGTTTATTCAGTGTTATCAAATAGCGGCGCCATGGCCGCTATGATGGATATACATGGCAGTTTTTGGGCTCACCGCAATGGTACATATTGGCCGATATTGCGGGTTTTTCCGCCGTAATCCACTATAACGGTGCCACAAAACGGCTTGTATGGCGGGATTTTGCCTCTGCCATAGACCGCCACCCGCCATCGACAACACCGGGTTTATTGAATTTTCTTAACTTTTCTGTCTGCAATTTTCTGAACTCTAATTTTTCTCAGAATGAACTTCTCATTGTGATTTTCTTCTCGAAGGTTACCAGTCTTCTGATGATGTGTTTTCTGATAATGAATGGTCAAGATAGTTTTTGTATGGTTATTGTTTTGAGTCTTCTGAAGCATAAAAAATCATCTCTTGGGATATTCCATCATAGTAGTATGATTCATCCTTCACTTCAAAACTTTATCATCTGAATCTTCTGATGTATTTGCTCTGATGTATAAATTCTGGCACTTAAGTTTGTTTCACCAAATACAATTTTCAATTAAGTACTTCTGAATTTTCTGATAGTGACTCACACAAGCCAGTTTTGTGTTCTTGTGAGATATAATGTTTTCTGATGAGCTCCACTACAAAAACCAAGTCTTATCCCACAAGGTGGGGTCTTCCGAGAAGCTATGCTTAGGATATTTTTGTTAATACACTTCTAATACTCCCTTATAATTTCAAGTTTCATAGTAATTTACATTTTGTTTCATAAGGTTTGTCGTCATTAAAATCTTAATAAATGGTTTTACTTTAATATAAACAATTTCTTTTTGTAGGCAAAATGTATTTCTGATTGTAGTTGTGTACTAACATGTTGCTTATTCTCTGAACTTACCCATTTATAGGACATTTGAAATATTTTCGATATTAGGATTGCGACTAGTAAGCAAGTCAAACATTTGTACTTCATACTCTCTTTTGAGACCATGAAGCCACAAACCATCTGACCGACATAAAAAGATTACAGGGGAATTATGAGTTTCTTTTATTCATGTTGTTCAAGTAATACAAGTTAGTCTACTTAGGTGAAAGAAAGCCATAAACTGTAGTTGATTATCCATTTTTTCTTTCCTTGGTACAATGCACTTCTTTTGTTTTAATTGCTAATAAGTAGTTCTGAAATGATAGGATAGAAACTAAGACACCCAGAATAAAATGGTCAAACAAAAACAAATAAGCTGAAACAACATAGCAATGGAGATGATAGGTTGTATTGAGTGTGCTATTAATGGAGCAAAGCTCCGTACTAGAAAATAGAGTTGACTATGGATGAAAATGCAAGACAACCATACTGTTCTCCTAATGGAGAAAACAACCCTCACTAAGGCCAAGCCTTTCCATTACTATCCAATCCTTTTCCTCCTCTCCCACAGACCCCCACCTTACCACTATATGGAAATGATTCCCTATCTCCACTCTCCAATTGCCACACGCCCTTTCTGTTACTCCTTCTCTAATGTATCTGACTGATTCTCTCCCTCCCATTCTGTTGTTACTTGGTTAATCCTCGATCCTTTGCAGCCCCACTTTTTTTGGCCCATTGTTCTCCTCGGTTTGGGTTTATATAACGATCCCACCCTTGCTCACTTTCTCCCCTTGCTTCCCTTTATATATTTTTTTTATGATGCATTTTTAAATTTTGACAGAATGGTAAATTTTCCTATAATAGGTCTATCATGAAATGTGACTTAAAGATCAAGTTTTCCACATGCCTTGAAATAATTGACCACACTATTTGTGATGTCGTTTTGATAATTTACGTCAGACTTGTTCTTTGATGCTAAACATTATGTTAATCTATTTTTATTATTTGTTTATTATATGGCATATTTACTAGATAGTTGTAGTCGGAGGGATAAACTTATGATGTATCATGGATGGACCAGTGATGTGAAGAACACTGGGAAGCTATTGTCCTTTCATTTTTGATTGTTACACCTATATTTTCATGAAAAATAAATGGGCATCAGAAAGAGGTTGGAATCACTTTTGCAATCTAGGCTATCACTATATGAAAAGTTGCATTATTTAAAATTAATATGCATTTCATGTAATTCTTGCTACTCTAACTTAATTTTTAGCATTTGGTGCATTTTCACATCCATCCACATATTTTGGGTAGTAATCCATCAATATTATTTTATACATGACCATTAATATTGATTGCATATTTTTTGTATTGTGTGTGTCATTTTCCATTTGGATTCAAACTTATGATTTCTGACTGAACAGACTGTTTTTCTTATTTCTCAATATCAGTTGATTTGGACAATTTTTACTGACTTGTTTATATATATGTTTCCTTTCTTTTTTTGATTTTCTAAATATTCTTTGATGATGGTATCTTTTCTTTTTTATTGTCTCTATCCTCATCATTGTTTCAGTGCATGAGTCTCTGGCATTGGTTGCCCTGCATGTGCATTGAGACTTTAATTTCACTTTCATGTATTGAAGAGAATATGCAGTTGGGTTATTAGATTTTTGTAGTTTAGACACAAAGATGGTCATTTAAATGTAAAACATGTTAATAAAACTAATGAAAGATGATTTTATTAGATGTCAAACAATTTAAGGAAATGTGCACACTTTGAAGTGCATGGAATGAAAATATTAATTCTCTATTCATTTCTTAACTTTTCTTTTCATTCATGGTTCAGGCATTTAAGAATGTATTGGACAAATTTGTTGGGGTGAATCTAGAAAGCTCAAAGGCTGGATTCAGATGAGATGCTATGTGAACATTATGGACGAGTTGGCCCACCAAGGTACCTCTGAAGAGCAAATTGATGCATATTTGAAACCAAAGTTTTTCTTTATTGGATCTGTACTTTTATTCGTCAGTTTACAGTTCAATGGATGATTATTACTCATTTGAACCGTGTTTAGTGTTGTATAGGTAGTATCAGTTGTATGTAGCCCCTTTGTGATTGATATACTGAATTAACTAATCAAATTGAAATCGTAGTATATTGTATCGATTCTTTGACCCCACCATTTAATATTCCCTAAATGTTACACTAGTTCACAAGATGTTTCTCTGTATAATGTAACATTTAACATGAGTGAGGAACAATCATATGCATGAAATAATGCGTTCTTGAATTGAAACACCAGAACAGATAATTGCCTAAGATTATATGCATGTCTTGTGCTTTGCTTACTCGGTGTCGGTGTTAATAAATTTTTACTTATTAAAAAAAATAGAGTTGACAAATCAGACGGTTCCGCGGATACTTCTATCTATTTTAATTATATTTGTAATCATTTCCTTAATTTGTGCATCCTGTAGTTGAAATCTGGGTTGACTTTTGTAGTATTGTCTTAAATTGAGACGTGAAAGAAATTTTGCAGCTTGAAACAGAATGATGGTGCCTAAATTAAAACCCCCAGGATTCTACTTAGTTTATCACAGTCGAATAGAAAGATTAGTTTTGAAGTGGGTTGACAGAATATCACCGTCCATGATCCTAAGAATATTACTGTCCTATTTGGAGATTGTGATGATTTGCAAGAGAAGGAAAAAGTGTAGCAATAGGAAGGAAAAGAAAGTCTAGGCAATTATTACCAATATTCCCTGGTGGAAGATGACATATTCAAGTATGTTGACAGGGGGAGAGAGAGAGAGAATAGAAGAGGCTTTTAGTTTGTCTCCTTTTGCAGCAGAGGGATATTTAAAAGAGTAGGCAAATGGGATGTATTGTACCTTAACACTGCTGCAACTCATAAATATACTTTTGAAAAGCTTGGAGATATGCCATAACACCCAAAACCTGACACTACCTCCTTTGGTTAATCCCCATGCCCTTTACCTTCTACCGAGTTTAGTGACAAGAAACTTTTTTCCATTCCTTTTGTTTAGCTTGGAAGCACAGTTTTTAATGCAAACCCTTAATTTTCAACAATACTTTAGGTTTTATTGGAAACTTTCGTTTGACTTAGTATGCAAACCCTTTTACTATTTAAAAATTTGTTGAATTTAGTTTTTTTTTTTGTGCGTGATGAATAGTTGTGACATCTTACATCAGATTATACCCTGCTTGAATGATAGTTGGGAAGTTAGAACCAATCATATCCATCGTGTGGCCATCAGTGTGCAAATACTATGGCCAACAAAAGCCTACATTATGAATTTGGTATTCAGATTTATCACGATTATCCGGATGATCTTGTTGAGTTATTAGCTAAGGATGTAGCATGAATTTATGTTTCCCAAATTATAGTTTTTTGAACTTTTTTTGAGCTTTGGCCTTTATCAAAATTAAAAAAAAAAAAGTAATAATGATACATGTTTTGATGTGTGATGGATATACAATTTATACCAGTAGGTAGACAGGATCCTCTCGAATCATTAGAGTTTAATGAAATCTAGACAAAAAAGATTTTAAGGGTGTAGATTTCACACATAAGAAAAGAAAAAAAGATGAATTCCCACATGAGAGAATCCATCCCCATGTAAATTCATGTATGGAACAAAGAAGTAGATGAAGTAGTACAATAGAAGTGGGTTTTGACTAAAATAATGAAACGAATATTAAAAGTTTAAATTTTGAAGAGTGTTATGGGATGAATTGTCAACAAAATAGCCAACGATTTAGATTTAATGTATTAAATTAATAGATAATTGAGTTAAGCAACTAAATCCCCCTAGGAATTGATAACATGTATAAATATTCATCCATCTTACTATACATTGACTTCAACTATTGCATTTGGGGACGCCAACCAAAGGCTAAAATTTATGGAGAAGAAGGACCAGAGCGTGGGGTGTGGCATTGGCACAAAATTTGATAAAGGATTCACATTATATAATTCTCATCAAACTTTCAATGCTACATTGAACAATTTTTCCCTAATCGTTGACATGTAATTTATTTTTGCCTTATCCTTTTGTTTTTCTTCTTCTCTTTACTCTTTTACCTTTTAATTATGTATCACGGACCACTATTACACTCTGCACAATTACACACACTAAATTCTTAAGCTTATTTTACCTTTTCACTCACGCTTATAAACCTGTGGTTTTCGGAGCGTTAACTTTTTATAAAAGGTTCCATTTCTTTAACACTATCAACTTCTAAAGAAAAAGTGATAAGAAAAAGAATTTCTTGAAATTAGGCAATAAATATGTTTTGATTTTAAAACACTCTTACAAATATTTCTTTTTTCGGTTGCACTATTGGGCCTACCTGACCACTGTGGAGCCAGGTTTGTCATGGAGACAAAACCCAGGGATATGATGACGGCCTTTGGCATTTAGCCGCTAAATCCAAAATGGCGTAACTTCTTAAGCACAAGCTGGACAATCTACATCATCAATAGAAAGACTTGATCTAAATTATTGTAAAATCATAATTTCACTAATTTAGAATATGGTGGTTAATTTGACCGATTACACACTAGACTTTTTTAGTGTTAAATGTGTAATTTCTTGTGTCGAAATAAGATGTTGTTCGACACAAGGTGTGTCGAAACACTCGGTATAGACTGGTGTCGAATTAGTCTAGATAGTGTGTCAAGCAGTTGTTTCACACATATTTGATTTAGTTCAAAAATATGTTTTTTTTTTTTTTATAGTTTTTTTAGTTTTTTGAGTTTTTGAGTTTAAAGGAGAAGGAAATTGTTTTTTTTGGCGATTTTCTTAATAAAAATTTTTTTGATGATTAACCTAATAACTTAATTAATTTTAATTAAGTAAGAAAAAAAGAAATTGAATAGTTAAAACCTAAAAACCCTAAATTGATTTTAATTTAAAAAAAGGTTTAGTGAAAAACCTAAAACAAACCTAAATTAATTGATTAAATAAAAAAAACTTAAAAAATTAATTAGGATTGATTAAATAAAAAACCTAAAACTAATTAGGGTTTAGAAAAAAATCAAAGGTTTATAAAAAAAGGTTTTGTGAAAATAGAGGAAAAAATAAGAGGAAAAAAGTAAAAGAATAGAGAATTATGAAAAAAAAAACCAAAATTGGTAGGGGTGGGTGTTGAATCCACGTCCTCAGCAATTCCAATCAACACCTTTACCACCAGGCTAGGCACACGCCTGTGTCAAAGAGAGAGAGAGAACCAGCGCGCTAAGTAGTCTACAAAACAAGAAAATATGAAAGAAAAAAAATGCCAAAAGGATGGGATCAAACCCACGCCTTGACATAGTAACATCTTATCGTGCACGCTTCAATCGCTGGGGCAGTAATACATCCATCATTTTAAATCAAACGAAATATATATAATATAAAAACCATGCATGAACCGGAGAGACGACAGAGCCCTAGCTCCGGTCGTCTTCTCCGGTAGACCTTTTTATCTAACCTACAAAAATAAGAGATGTTAGCAAACCAAAAGTATCCTACCCTCTAAATCGAGGCATGCGAGTTCTATGGGACGATTATTTTGGACTGAAAATCAATGGTTTAGGAGCTATGACCAAAATATATGGAATCGGTGCAATCACGGTGATGCACGATTCCAGTAGCATGGGACGCATGCGATGGTCCTTTCCTGCATATTAATACCTCATAGACATGTTAGAAAGGTCAGTATACAATAAAATATGAAAGAAATCAAGATACAATTTTTTGCAAAAAACATACAATGACCATGTATGCGTGCGAATTCTGGAGGATTTGGATCATTGTATTGGACCCATTCTTACTATGTACCTCTTCAGGAATCGATTGGGAGTGAAAGAATGTTTGGAAGATGGCTGCAAACTAGGGTTTGAAGGTTGCCCTAGTTTGATGATTTTGTGATTTTTTTGGAGGTGAACTTTGGACAAGGTTTTTCGTGGCCTCTTGTCTGAATTTGTTGAGAATATATAACATAGAATTAGGTCAAAAATATGGGCTTGGACTTGTGTAAGAGGGCTTGACTTATATTATCTTATTTTGATTTTTTAAAATAATAAAAATAAAAAATAAAAAATAAAAAGTAAAAAATCAAAGGGAGGTGTATGAATAAGTCTTGAGGTGCATAAGGAGTATATAACACGTTTGGACTTTGAACAATCCCAATAGCCCAAAAATCAAGTTTGGCTCAATTGGAACTTCATGCATTTTGCTCAAAATTTCCAAACTTGCACTAGTAATAACTCTCTCAATTTTTATCTTTTGAAGGTGATCTTGGACTTTTTGAAAATCTCAAGATGTCCTATACAATCTCTCTTTTTATCATTTTTGCATTTGAAGACTTTATTTTGATGTAAGTTGCCTTGATAAAAAGCGTCTTTTTGTTGACTTTTGAAACGACTTATAATGTATTGGCTCATATCTCTCAAATGAAGCATTTTTTGGACTTGAGCTTAGATATACAAAGTTGTAGGGAATTGAATTTCCTTCAAAATAAGCTTTGGTTGGGGAAGATCTGATTAAGCATGTGAAAGTTATGCTTGGTCAAAGTTCAGTTGACTTCTCGTAAGGAAAAACCCTAATTTAGCAACTTTTAACTTTTTGATGGTTTGAGAGTTTTCTTGATGAATCATGATCAACACTTGATCAAATGATTAATATCACTTCAAAACATTGATGTTGACCAGAAATCTTAAAGTTTGATTGTATGTTGACCACAATTGACTTTTTGTCCAATATAGTTGATTCTTAGTCATCTGAGCAAACTTGTGATGCAAGGCATGAAACTTGGTACGAGAATTCTTGAAGAAATATAAGAGACCATGAAATCCACTTGAGGCCTTTGAAGCCCAATCTTACTTGTGAAAGATGAAACCCTAGTTG